GCATACTAAGCACACTCCCTACCACTAAGCTATACCTCCAGGCCCAGCTTGCTCCTTTGTAAACTTCGTAGAGGGAGGGTCGCACATGTCACTTTAAAATGTGATAGCTAAGGCCACGTATGGTGGTGGATGCCTACAATTCCACCCACCCAGGAAGCCACAGGCAAAGGGACCGTGAGTCCAGGCCAACCTGGCTTTCATAGTGAGACCCTGTCTCAGGCAAGCAAATAAATAGTTGAAACAAAGAGGAGGTGAATATTTATACATTACCTGAAGTTTTCTCTCTGTACCTGCCTTCCCAGGTAGCTACATGTCAATCATCTTTGGAGCATGAATGATGTCATTGTGATAAGTAGTCTTTTCCTTTTTTGTGTTTTACTGTAAGGGAATGATGATATCTGGTCTCTGGGGGATTTTGGGATTGGTTTGGTTTTGGCAGTGCTGAAGGCTGAATTTACGCAAGTCCTCCAACACTGTCTGAGCTGTATCCCCAGCCATGTTCTTACTTTTTAATTGAGACAGGGTCCCATTAAGTTATCCAGTCTGTCCTTGACCTTACTCTTACCCAGTCTGGTCTTGAGCTTACTATCTTCCCACCTCAGTTTCCCAAAAATCTCTCATTACATACTGCACCTCCCACCAAGCAGAATTTTCTTTCATATCTGGATACTGGACATTGCATTTGTTTCCAGGACTGGTGTAACATACTACAAACCAGCAAGCTTAAGACGACAAGAACGTATTTTTTCCAAACTCTAGAAACAGGAGTCTGGAATTTGGGCCATTCTTCCTTAGGGAGACACAAACTGATACTGTTCTGTGGTGATATATTATTTATGATTTATTAAAGCCTGCCTGAGGATTCAGAAACCAAAGTCAGCCTCAAGCTATAGAAATCAGGCAGTGGTGATACACACCTTTAATCCCAGCAGCCAGAAGCTAGGAGATGGTGGTACACATCTTTAGTCCTAGGACTCAGGATTAAGAGTTATACGGATTTCTATGTGTCCAAGGCCACCCAGATCTATACAAGATTGATCCAGTCCTAAAGAGAAACAGCAAGCACAAAGATGATCTCAGCACCTGGGATCACACACCTCTAATCCCAGCCCTAGAGGGCTATAAAGGATAGGAGCAGGGTCTTCAGTGGTCAGTATCAGACAGTCATTCTCCAGCCACACTGAGGACGGGAAGACATTGAAGTTTCAGGATTCTCCAGCCACGCTGAGGACAGGCAGCAGTCTGAGGTTTGGTGGAACCAGGGTCACCTTTCAATCTGAGGCAGTGTAAGAGCTAGTGCCCAGCTGCTTTGCTTTTCTGACCTTCAGCTTGAAGCTTGAACCCCAGTACCTGTGTCTGGGTCCTTTATTTTTCCAGCTACACTGATCCACTCTGTCTGGCATCAGGTAAGGATGCTGTAACAGAATACCATAGACCAGGTGGCTTAGCTAACAAACACTGCTTCTGAAGGTTCTGGAAACTCAGGGTCCAAGGTCTCACAGGCCAGGAGGCTGATAAATGCTTGCTTCCTGATTTGAAACCAGTCATCTTCTTTTATCATTATATAATCTCTCTTCGGTCACTTCTAACCGGAGAACGGATTTTATTCATGAGATCCACCTTCTCATAATGTAAATACTTCACAGTAGCCTCACATTCCAATATCATCCCATTGGGAAAATTAAATTTTTAACATATTAATTTTAGGGAAACACTAACATAAGCTATGGACAGTCATTATCACCCATTGAATTGTTTGTGGTTGTTATCAATTTTTTTCTTTTAGTGTATGTATGTAAATGTTCACATGTTCCTACAAGTACATGCATGTAGAAGTCAGAGGTTGGCATTAGTATTTTCTTCACTTACTCTCCACTTTATTTTTTGAGACAGGGTCTCTCCTTGAAGCTCAGGCTCACTGACTTGCCTAGGCTAGTGGGCCAGCAAGGTCTAACAATCTGCCTGTCTCTGCCTCCCAAGAGCTTGGATTGCAGACACATGCTATCATACCTCTTTAAAATGAGCTAACAAAAACCACACATAAATGTTCAGTATCCAATCTCAGGTCCTATTGCTTGCATAGTAAGCACTTTACCCATCATCTCTCTAGGTCTTCTACCACTCTAATTTCTGTCTCTCTTTACTCGCCAATCTTCTGTGTGTTTCTACAGGATCCTACTATAAATACATCACTGTATGTATAATATTTATCTAGGTATCATTCTAATCCAGTATGACATCACCATAACTGCATGGGTACAAAGACCCTCTTTCCAAATAAGGCCATGAGTTCAGGTTCTTATTTGGAATGAATTTTGGTGGGGGTGAGGGAGGCCACTATTTAATCCAGTTGAGGTATTACAATATTTCCTGTATATAAAGGTTTGATATCTTTGCAAATATGAAAATGCACATCATTTCACCCACATAATGTTTGAAAGCCTCTGTCACTCTAATTTTGGAGAGGCCCATGGCTGTGGGCACCTGCAGGTTTCACTAGAGCACATTGCATAGCAGCAGTCATTCATGGACAGATGCGATAAAGGAGTGTGCAGCTTAATAAGCATGGCTATACAGCCTATCAGGGAATCAGAGCCAGCTAATAATAGCTGTTCTCGAGATGAGCGAGCTGATGCTTCTTCCACTGCTGAGTCCTCAGAGTGGTGATGTGCTGACTGTATCATGTGACTTGTGAAACAAAGAAGACAAATGGCATCACAATTCTGAGTATTTTGACTATTGCTATACACTCTAAAGTTGTAGTAGTTCTGGACTTAAGAACACTCATTGCTCTTCCAGAAGACCCAAGTTCAATTTCCAGCACCCACACTAGCTTGCAACTGCTTATAAGTCCAATTCCAGGGGATCTGACACCCTTGCCTGGCCTCTGCAGGTACTAGGTATGATGCATGTGATATGCATACATATATATGCAGGAACTCACACATATAAAGAAGTAAATCTTTAATGTTGTAATAGCACTTGCAAAACTATTCTACAAAATTATAATGTTTCAAACTTCTTTAGCATTTTTTAATTGTCCTAGAAGCATCTCATTGCAGGAGCCCCTTCCTTTTTCTAAAAGCCTGCTGAGAACAGAGAGCAACGGAAGGAGAGTCATCATGATAACCCTCCCAACCAGGGCTTTTACACAGACTTCAAATGGAGTTTCTTCCTAATTTATCAGCTACTGTCTGTCCTGAATTTAGACCTGAAAGAAAGTGCAACAAAAGTGACACATGAATGAAGACGAGGTGTTTGTTTTCCATTTAGTCCTTCTAGTCTGGGACCAATTCTTTGCAGTGTCTTTGATTTTGCTCAGTCAAGGGTGTCTTGGAAAATTCTATGTATGTCAGATATATACACCTGCACATGAGTACATGCATGCATGCTCTCTCTCTCTCTCTCTCTCTCTCTCTCTCTCTCTCTCTCTCTCTCTCTCTCTCTACACACACACACACACACACACACACACACACACCCTGCTAATTCAGTGAGCTCCTCTGCAACTTCAGCAACTGAAGTGGCATCATTACACAGTGTGCATCCTTTGTTCAAAGGAATTTAGACATGGGTAACTTGGATACTACATTCTACCTCTCTCTTGGCATTATACTTATTCCTTGGTATCAGTGGGGCATTGGTTCTAAGACCCCGCCCATAGCAAATTGTGCAGTTGCTCAATGTCCCTTGTGTAACATTGTTTAGCACTTGCATGGAATCATGTACTTCCTCCTGGATATGCTAAACCATCTCTTAAGTCTTACAACCCCCACAGGATGTAAATGCTATGCAAGCTGTTCTACTATGTTGTTTAAGGAGTAACAAGAAGACAAAAGTCTGAACATGTTCAACACAGGTGCAACTGTAGTTTTGTTTGGTTGAATACAGAAATGTGGAACTCGCAGATACTGAGGGCAGACTGACTGTTCTTCTTTTCCAAATGTGCCAGCGCTGTCCCATGAATACCTTTGGACATGCAGACTGAGTCACGGATGCTTACCCATTCTTTCTATGTAAATGATTTATACTGGATTTAAATTTCCTTGGGCAATTGTTTTCTTTGTAACTCACTGTGTTGCCGTGTCTTTATTGGAATTTGTGTTGTGTTTTCTTTTGTAAGACATTTGGATTCTGTGAAAAGCGTTATGTATGTAAGTAATGGAAACAACACCCACACCATTGCTTTGCTACTGGGGTGCCACCACACTTCTGTTTGCTTTCTCTTCCTTTTTTTTCCAAATCACCAGAATAGTTCCTAGGAATAGAAATGATAAAACATTCTTAAAGACACAGTGAGTCAGACCAGGGAATGTCTCAGTAGTAAAAGTGCAAGCAGAAGGACCAGAGTTTGGATGTCTAGAACTTGTCTAAATGCCAGGTCAGCATGTTAGCCCTTAATGCTAGCCTTAAAAGGCAGAGACAGAGAATCCCTGGAGCAAGCTGGACAGACAAACTAGCTAAGTCTTCAAGCTCTGGGTTCGACTGAGAGATCCTGCCTCAAAGAGTAAGGTGGAAGAGTCATCAAGGCTCAGGGAGGATGCCGGGTATAAATTTCAGGACTCCACAGACATGTGCACACAGGCGCACACTTACCCACATACAGGTGATCCCACATTCACAGGGAGTGCATAAGCACATGCCCATATTTACATAACAATACAGTCAATATATTATTATTCATTAGTGGGGAGCAATGGTCATCTGAAACTTGACCCTTCCTTAACTGACAGCCTTATTGAGCCTCTCATATCATTTTGTCCTGGCTTAAACGGCGGTAGCAGATGCACTCTACTTGAAGTAATTTACTGGCTGCTATAAATTGAGCATGGCGGGAGGTAAATATCAGCAGTCACAGTGAAATAGCTGTATAGCAACCAGAGAAATTATGGAGCTTCTGCGCGGACTGGATTGCTTTTGTAAAATACATCAGGCAACAAAGTCCTCTGTGGGGGGCAGGGAGGAACCATGCAGTGGTTATGCAAAGTTGTCAGGCAGGCTTCATACAATCTTTTATTTTTAAGCTGCTTTTAAGTTAAAGGGCAGAAAAGACAATCTTTGGGCTTCCATGGTCTTGTAGAAACAGGCATGTGGGGTCCTGGAATCGCGGATGCAGAGAGAAAAGGTGCTGTGGCCCATCTGTATTGGCTTCTGCTGGCCTCTCCTTTTGTAGGAGACTCCCGGCACAGAGCCGGCAGGGTCAAGACTAGCAAACTGCCAGTGGGAAGGGGACGAAGCTAATATTCAGCAACCGAAAGGGACAGTGAGAGTTCTGGCATGAATGTGACGTGCAACCCCCATAGGACCATGTGTTTGAACACGTGGCCCTCAGCTGGCAGTGCTGTTTGAGGACACCGTAGAATGTTGGGATCCTGGGCCATTGAAAGTTATTCTTGTTTCTGGTTCAGTCCTGCACCCTGCTCTCCCCTGATCTCCAATCATTTCCTCACTTCTGCCACCATAAGTCCCTCAAGATGGTCAAACCCAAGCCTGTGCTTCTTTGCAAGTGCCTTGACCTGCGCAGGGCAGAAGAAAGCACTGTGGCACACCATCCTGGGGCCAAGGAAAAGTGACAGGACTTCTTTAGGATTGTCGTGGTTACTGTCTCTTGTTACGGTGGGAACACTTGACAAACGTAAGTTGAGGAAGGAAGGGTTCATATTGGCTCACAGTCTGAGAGGAGACACAGTTTATCATCCTGGGAACATCACAGCAGTGGGAGCGTGAGGCAGCAGGAGCGTGAGGCAGCTGGCTGCATCGTGCCCACAGCCAGGATGCTTAGATGATGACTGCTAGTTCCTGCTTACTTTCCTCTTTCTATTCAGTCCACGATGCCAGCCCAGAAACAGTGCTGTCCACATTCAGGGGAGTCTCCCTACTTCAGTGAACGCAATCCAGAGCTCCCCTTACAGACATTCCCAGACGTTTTTCTCCTGTGAAGTTGACAATCAATATTGATTATTACGGGAATTTAAATAAAAACTCCATCAGTTTGGAAATCTGTTCCATGGTGTTTGCTGGAAGAAGCTGGGTCTCGCATCAAGGTGGAATGAACAGGACAGGTGGGAACACCACTCTGAGCTCTGCCTTTGCCTCAAGCCCCTGAGTGACCACCCTGCCGGTGTGTCCCACTCACTACCTGACCTTTCCTTTTGAAGCTACTGCACCTGAGGAGGTGGAGAGGTGGCCTCCCTTCCCCCGCCCTTTTATCTTTAAGCAGCTGCATTATTAACAGAGAGGAAACCGCCTCCCATAAGATATGGCAAAATCCTGCAGATTGGTTTGTGAATCAATGTAGCTTAGGCTAAAGCAACCTACTTTCCTGAAAGCCATTCTATGGCTTTGAGCTTCCAGAGAGGCATACGGCTTGCATGTTATTTACTCTTACTTAAAATTAAATGTAAATAGGGAAGAAAAAAACTCAAGAGGAAGTTTTCTTGGAAGACATGTCATTAACAGGGAGAAAAACTGAAGTCTAGAAAGAAATGTGGGCAGGCTACACATACAGCATTCACAGAGGTCTGGCAGTATGGATATAGCAATGTGTCACAATGTTAGCTACCTCCATGTCATGAAGTGTCATGTGGGTTTTTTTACGTACTTTTTTGTTGCAAAATGCACATTTGAGAAAGCAGGTGATACACACAGGAAATCCAACTTAATACATTATGTGCACTGAACATTTGGGGATTGCAGAATAAATGAAGCCCAACCCAAAAACCCTCCACCCACCCTTTTTTGATAATGATCCACCCTCCCTATCAATGAAAAATGTCTTATTGAATCTTTGTGGATTTCACATCATGCACCCCAATACCACTTATCTCCCCATCCCTTCATATCTGCCCTTTGCAAACCCCTCACCTGCAAAATAAAATACAATTTAAAAGAAAAAAAGAACACAATCTCATTATGGAACCTGTAGTGTGTAACAAGTCACACCGTATACTTTTTAGTCCATACATGCTAGTGTTCGTTGCAATGAGTCATTGGTCTGGTTTGAGGCTTCTGGCTTCTGCTACACCCTGGATGCTGGGCCGTCACCGGGATGACTCTGGAATATCCTGTTGTCCCGTGTCGTGGAGATCCTGCAGCTTTGAATCTGCAGGTTCATCCCCTTCGCATGCTCCAGCAGTTCACAGATGAGGTAAATGTTGAGGCTGGTTCTGGGGCCGGGTGGTTGCAGGGTTGGTCAGCCACCAGCTCTCCCCCATCCTCACCACCAGGGTGAGCTCTCCATCGCTGTCCACCCCCACCCAGCTCCAGTTCACCCGGTGCCTCAGACAGCAAAGGGGCAGAGCCAGTTCTCCTGCTTTCATTCCCTCAGGGCCAGCTCACCTGCTCCCACACCACCAGGGCCAGCTCTGCTGAGTGCTGCAGCTCTGCTGAGCTGCCCAGGTGGTGCAGGGCTGCTTTCCTGAGTGCTGCAGCTGGTGAGAGGCTGGGCCAGCTCTCCAACTCCCTGAGCACCCTTCCCTATTGTTAAGCTAATGTCCCTACCTCTTTATTTTCCTTTGTGCATTGATTCCCATTTTTTAAATTTTACGTGTGTGCCAGGCAGTGGTGGCACACGCCTTTAATCCCAGTACTCGGGAGGCAGAGGCAGGCGGATCTCTGTGAGTTCGAGGCCAGGCCGGACCGACAGCCTCCAAAACAATACAGAGAAACCCTGTCTCGTAACCCCCTCCCCCAAAAAATTACATGTGTGTGTGTGTGTGTGTGTGTGTGTGTGTGTGTGTGTGTGTGTGTGTATGCCAATCCTCCTATGTAGCAGTCAGAGGACAACCCCAACTGTTGCTCCTTATCTTCTACCTTGTTTGAAACATGGTCTCCTACTGTTGTTCCACTGTGTTGTGGGAGTCTCTTATCCCTGTCTTCCATTTCCCCACATAATTGTGAAGATTGTTGTGGAGTATTAGTTTAAGATGGGTTACATTTGTTTCTGCGGTGGAACATTGTTTAATGATACAAAGTTGCATTGCATTTTTTAACGGCATCAGGTAATTTTTTCCATTAGTTGTTGGGTTTCATTTATATGTTTTATTTTTATTTATTTATTTTCCTTATTTTAATTTAAGTTAGAAACAAGTTTGTTTCACATGTCAATCCCAGCTCCCTCTCCCTCCCCTCCTCCACCATCCCTCCCCACCCGGGCCCTCAGTCCCCCACCCAGTCTCCACTCTGATCCCCATGGAGGGTGAGGCCCTCCATGGTGGGTCTCCAGAGTCTGTCATTTCATCCAGGGTAGGGTCTAGGCCCTAAGTATAGAATTCTCAGTAGAGCAGTCTAAAATGGCTGAGAGACACTTAGGAAAGCTTTGCATTCTTTTACTTTGCATTTGTTTAACTCTGTGAAGCTGTGTTACTTTGCCTTAAAAAACCTGATTGGTGTAATAAAGAGCTGAACAGCCAATTGCAAGGCAGGAGAAATGATAGGAGGAGCTGGCAGGCAGAGAGAATAAATAGGAGGAGAAATCTGGGGAGAGGGAGATCAAGGAGCCAGAAAAGAAGGTCTCAGTCACCGAGTAACACAGCCAGCCATAGAGTATGAAGGAAAGAAAGGGATACACAGAAATAGAGAAAGGTAAGACTCCAGCGGCAAAACATAGGTGGGATGATATAAGTTAAGAAAAGCTGGCTAGAAACAAGCCAAACTAAGGCTGGGCACTCATGAGTAAGAATAAGGCTCTGCATGCATGATTTAACTGGGAGCTGGGTGGCAAGGGCCCCAAAAGAGTAAAGAGTAAAAGAGTAAAAATCAACCAGGTACAGAAGATGGTAGATGCATATGGATCCAGGGTTTATGTGAGTTCTGTGGATGTGAACTCAGGGCCTCATGATTGAGTGGCAAGTGCTATAACCTACAGCTCCCTCTAAAAAAAAAAAGAAAAAATATATGGGGGTGTATGAATTCCCCCCATCCTTCACATTATGCTATTCCTATGCTGGATAAACAATATTTTATAGTATCTCTTGCGGATGGGTTTCACTTGTCTAAAGTGTCTGGCTGTTATGAATGGAAGCATTATTCCTATGGTGGATATGCACCCCGGGGCTCACATCTCAGGAACTGGGCATGCCTATCTTTTCCTTTAGTAGATAACACCCAACAGTTCACCAAAATTACAGCAGTAGTTCCCATGCCTGAGAATTTCCTTTGCTTTATAATGGGACTGAGCATCACCTTTCTGTATCTATCGTTTTTCTATTTTCCTCTTTAATAAATATCAGTCCATTTAATAAAGAAAAACACTACTCTAACACACTTTTTAAGAATTATATTGCCCATTGGGGGATATTCTTTTTAAACCTTTTAATTGAAACAAATCACTCTGTGGAAAATGTATACGAATCACACTTACATGACTTAATGGGTTATCACACAGTGGGCACCCCTGGGTAACCACCCACAGATCAACATAGAATTTGGGGGCACTAAAAAAGCATTCAAATGGCAAGTTGCTTTTGTTAGCAAAGGAAAATGGCTGTACTTTGTTGAACAGCCATTTCCTCTAAACTGCAACACTCCCTTTTGGAGGAGAAGGGAGAGACAAAATCCATAGAACACTACAGAGAATTAGAGTCTTGAGGAAGGTTCCAAGATCCATAAACCCCTTCCTATATGCATGCAAGGTCTTTGTGTGTAGGTAGCATGACTGGAGGAACAGATTCTCTTGCAGGGACCCAACTGCAAGTTGTAGGAGGAGCTCCAGAGGTGCAGGTTTGTGGACTGTCACTCACGGTGGGGTGGCCTTTTAAGGTAATGCAGCTGCCTTTGCCACACCCATACACTCATCAGTAACTCCCCAAACTTCCTAAGTTCCCCTAGCTAGACTTGTCTATAATTATCTCTGATTTGCCTAGCTGCCTAGGTCACCCCAGCAAAGGACACACAGCACACTTTCTCCCAGCATGAAGAGTTTTGTGAGCTCTTATACTTTTTTTCTGTAAACTATTGGGAACAATGTAGCCAATGATGCCTTACCTATAGTCTCCAGTCTTCCAATATTAGGCAGGTCATCTATGCTGCCCTGTGCAGCAGTTTGTTTATTTTCCTGAAGCAAAGCTTGGTGTCAGGAAACTCATTTACTACTTTCTTCAATTCACAGGCTGTACGGAACTTCTAGGCAGAGGTCATGTGTCATGGCATGTGTCTCTGATAGCCTTGAGCTTCCCTCTGACACTGAGATAACTGTGGTTTCCACTTGAGTTTCTTCTTCCTTATTTGCTACCCAGATGCTGAGAAGTATCACGTCTTCAGACATTCTGCTTTTGTGTATATCAGAGCTGTTGGAGGATTTCAGCTTGTCTGGAAAATTGATTTGTTTATGATGATCATGGATATCCAAGGATACATTTACCACAGGATGAGTGAGCTCTTGGCCAGAAATGCAGGGCAACTTCAACACTGTGTTGCTTCATATTGTAGCCCATACTGGGAGGAAGAATTCTGCCCTCAGATCTTTGTAAGGGAATAACTCTTAAAGCTATCTTCCACAAAAAAGGTGAAGCCAACAGCCTGTTGTCATGGAATATTAGTTTAAGATGTGTTACATTCGTTATGCTGAGGAACATTTGGTTGATGATGCAAATATGTGTTGCATCCTTTTATGTTGCATTTGTTTAACTCTGTAAAGCTGTGTTTGCCTGCCTAAAACACTTGATTTATCTAATAAAGAGCTGAATATCCAATAGCTAGGCAGGAGAGGGATAAGCTGGCCTATAGGCAGAAAAAAATAAATAGGTGAAGAGAAAAGAGGTGGGAAGATCTAGAAAAGGGGGAGGAGAGGAGGACACGAGGGGTCAGCCACCCAACTACACAACCAGCCACAGAGTAAGAAGGAAAGAAAGACATACAGAATAAAGAAAGGTAAAAAGTCCTGAGGCAAAATGAGGAAGAAGAGAAACATTAATTTAATTTAGAAAAGTTGGCTAGAAACAAGCCAAGCTAAGGCTGGGCATTCATAAGTAAGAATAAGTCTCCATGTATTTATTTGGGAGCTGGGTGGTGGGCCCCTCAAAGAGTTAAAATAATAAAAACAACTACAGCTCATGCTTTTTACTCTTTCTAGTAAAAACTGCTCCACCCTGCTACAAGAGACAACGGTTTATAGTAGCTTCTGTTTCATTTGAAATAGTTTTGACTGACCTGGATCTCAAGACGGAAACTTGGGATCATTCCTCAGGCAGTCAGACGGACTCTCGGGTACTAAGTCTACAAGGCCATGTATGAATGAATGCACTAAACACAATTTTCTTTTCTTTTTTTTCAAGACCCTGAGTGTAATTATTAAAGCTTCATTTGTCCCTAGTGATATTAACTATATAATAAAATTTGGATCACAGACATGAAATAATTTAAAGTGTGCCTTTGTTACTCTTCAGCTGGAAATAACTCAGCAAGAATTATTCTCACCCTCTCCCAGCCCCAGATCTGTCACAGGGTCATGGCACCAGCCAGTAAACTTAATAGATCTACTCTACAGAAAAGAAAATCCTATGTAAACAAAACAGGTTAAAAGATTCTACCACAGAAACAGAATAAAATATTGCTGATGTTATCAAATGCAGAAAAGACAAAATTAGAACTTGGAATAAAATTTCAATAATTAGAAGTTCTCCATTCCTAAGTTAGCTATGTGTAATAAACATCATTGATTAAAAAGAGACATTTTTCTTTGTGGGTTTCATCATCATGGTCTTGACTCCTTTGCTCATCACTCCTCCGTCTCTGTCACTAGGTTCTAGGAGTTCAGTTCAGTGTTTAGCTGTCTCTGCTTCCATCAATCCCAGGATGAAGGTTCTAGGATGTCATATAGGGTAGTCATCAACCCTATCATCAGGTAGGGGCTATTAGTGTGGTCTCTCCACTATAGTTTAGTTTGCCAGTTGGTGTTATCCTTGTAGATCTCTGGAGATCTCACTAGTGTCAGCTCTCTCCTCAAGCCTATAATGACTCAATCTATTATGGTGTCTCTCACCCTGCTCTCATCTATTCTTACCTCAACTCAACCTTCCTGCTCCCCTATGCCTTCTTCTCCCCTCCTCTTATCCCCCTCTCTTTTTCTTGGTTCCCTCTCTCCTCCCCCATGTTCCCAATCTGCTCAGGAGATCTTGCCTCATTCTGCATAAGGGGGAGCTCTTGAATCCCAGACTGATGGATGAGAGGCCAACAGGGGACTGATCCAGACTCCATGAATGTAGTGCCAGGGAGGAGGCCACAGAAATCACTGGGGCCTTGGGTAGTAGATCAGTGTTTACTATGGTTTATGAATGAGCTTTGGGAGCCCATTCCAATAAAGGGATGCTCTCTCAGCCTGGACACATGGGGTAGGGCCTAGGTCCTGCCCTGGATGAAATGACGGACTTTAGAGATCCCCCCAAGGAGGGCCTCACCCTCCCTGGGGAATGATGTGGGGACTGTGCAGGGGGCTGGTGGAGGGACAAAGGAGGAGGGGTGGGAGAGGGAGCTGGGACTGACATGTGAAACATTCACATTTCTAATTTAAATTAGAACATATACTGAGAAAAAAGAGATGTTTCTCATGAACTATGTAGATGTAATATTATCTGTGTGGCAACCTGTTTAGTCTCAGAGAAGCTTACACTAAATGGACCAAGATTTCCCCTCACTCAACAGGGCTAGGGTGATCTTGCTATGCTTTCTATGGCTAATACAGTAAGTGCCAGCCGTCTCTGCCCCCAACAGGAGCCAGGAGAAGGTCTCCCACCAGCCATAACCAGCCAGTGTGCAAGTGTTGGATTCTCCTGGCCATTGCTTTTAATTATCATCTAGTAATATTCTCTGCTACTTCATGTAAAGAGGGGCTCATCTGTGTCCAATACTGTCATGACTGTATAACTTAAACACAATCCACAGGGGTTTAGGACAGAAATTAACAAATATATTTTAGCTTGAAATCTTACTGATAAAGAATCATCATCAATTTCCCCGAGCAGCCACAAAGCAGTCACAGAGCAGTCACAGACTCCTTCATCCTGATTTACAAGAACCCAGCTACAAAAGATGCCATGACCAAGGTCACCTAGCCTCAGATGTAGGGTGTCACAGCCCCGCCAACCTTCCTTGAGTGCTAGAGGTCTTGACTGATAAATTCATCAGTGTGTCACTAATTGCATGATCTTTCCCAATTTCCTGCATCTCTTTGGCCCAGATTTATGTCTATAAAGTAAAATAAAACTCAAACTAGGTCTTCTAGAGATACAGTCCTAATGGTACAATATTGTGTTCTGCCCATCAGTCTGTGATTCAGTCACAAACCATGCTCCATTGTTCTGCCTCCAATGGAGCTCATCTGTTGTGTGATATTTTGTTTGTGTTCTGACAAATAAAGCTTGCCTGGAGATCAAAAGGCAGAGCTAGCCACTAGCTAACCATAGAGGCCAGGCTTTGGTGGCTCATCCCTTTGATTCCAGCATAATAAGGAGGTGGAGACAGGAGTATAAAGTGAGTAGAGACAGGATCTCAGCCCTCTGTAGTCTGAGGATTCCATAGAGGTAAGACGTCTCTCCAGTGACTGTCTCCTTTACTTCTCTGATCTTTCAGCATTTACTCTGATATCTAACTCTGGGTTTTTACTTAATAAGATTAATTAGGACCATGCTTCACTCATCACATTTTCTCTTCCATTGATGTGCCACGAGAGATGATGTCAGGGTTGGTAGCCCAACTCCCTCCTGGTGATGGTCTCCCAGCACCTCTTAGAACCAGAGTCCACAGACAGGAGACTGGAGTACTACCTTTTAATGTTCCTTGATGGGCAATCCATGATCAAATTGCTCCTTGCTCTGGGGCTCTGGGACTGAAATTTCTACATGGGAACATGCTATCCAATTAAGAATCAGAAGAAAATGAGATGAAGAAGTCTAGACTACCATGGGTGGGGTGAGGCCTCCTGGAGGACTTAGGACCTGCCAATCAATGGTCTTCATTCCCTGTAACTTTTGGTGTCAACAGGTAATATTTGCAAGCAGAGCCTGGAGAACAGTTGGAGATAGTATGTTTGGAAACATCACCCATGAGATCTGAGATGCAAGAGAATGCTCTGCCCTGAGAATGACAGCAAGCACCTTGAGGAGGACCTGACTGGGTGCAAACCCACCCCATTCTATTTCTCCCTCCCGTGTCGGCTCTCATGGCTTCCTGAGTCTTGGATTGCTGTGGCACTCTTCTGCAGGTCTAAGGCAACTATTTCAGGCGCCTAACACAGCAGGACAAATGTGTACAAGTCCACACAGTATGACAGAAGAATTAAAAATGTATTTACCATCTGTTGGTAGTTTCCTTGTGGGACTCTTTTCCTCTCCTGCAGCCACAAATAGGGTCTTTGCGTTTCCTTCCGACTTCAGAGAGTCCAGCTCTCTGAAATTGCAGGACTTTCTTCCTCCTCCTTGTCCTCCTCATTGTCATCATCATCTTCTTCCTCCTCCTTCTCTGTCCAAGGTCGTTGAACTCTGGAACAATCCCAGCTTCTATAATCATTTCTCTTAAGTATAACTTGGAAAGAGTCAGTCTAGAGAGATGGGTCAGTGCTTAAGAGAATTGACTGTTCCTCTAGAGGACCCAGGTTCAACTCCCAGCACCCACATGGCACCTCACAACTGTCTGTAACTCCAGTTCCAGGTATCCATGGCACCAGGCATGCATGTGGTGCACATGTCTGCTCATGCAGGCCAAATACTCATATTCATGAAAAAAATTGGAGTCTACAAAAAGTGTATAGTGTTTTATACTTAGGTAACTTCTCTGCCCTCTGCTTAGGTTCTGGTTGCTGAGGTCTCTGTAAAGCTTGGGGTGGAGCAAGAAGAAAGGTGTGGAGTGAAGTCAACTTAAATGGGATTGTATATCGAAATGAGGCTGGGAAATTCATACTGGCCCCCTACAATGTACTCTGTCTTCATCACAGAGGACTGACCTGGTAAAACACTAGAGAAGGAAACAGGAACTTCAAGTGTGAGCCACTTCCAGCCGTGCACTCCCCTCAAAATCAAAAGCAGTTATTTAGTTTTGTTAGTTGGGGCATGATGTAGGTTAGGTTGATGTAGACAAATATTCCCATTCTCACCCAGAGCCTCTAGTTTTCATTTCTGGGATACAGGTGTCAGTCACTTGAAATAAACCCAACTCATTGTGGTGGTGATTCGCTCCTGTAATTCCAGCAGGAGATGGAGGCAGGAGAATCACCATGAGTTCAAGGTCAGTTTAGGCTACCATCTGAGTCTTGCTTTCAAAACCAAATAAACGAATGAACAAACAAACAAAAGAAACATTGTATTAGATTTTTTTTCCCATTGTTGTGGCAAAATACCTGGCAGAAACAAGTTCAGGGAGGAGAGACTTCCTTTGCTCATGGGTTCAGAGGGCACAGTCCATTACCGCATGGGAGGCATGGTACCTGGGGTGATCCTGACTGTAGTGGAGGTGAGAATCCATCACAGGGATTAAGTATGCAGTTGCTCTTTGAAAGATGTGAATCAATGATGGAGATGCCGCTTAGTGGTAGAGCCCTTGCCTTTTATGCGTGAGGTTCTAGGTTTCATCTGCAGTACAAAAAGGAAGGAAGGAAGGAAGGAGGGAGGGAGGGACGGAGGGAGGGAGGGAGGGAGGGAGGGAGGGAGGGAGGGAGGGAGGGAGGGAGGGAGGGAGGGAGGGAGGGAGGGAGAAAGGAAGACAAAAAATGTGTCTACCCTTGACCATATCTGGAGAAGTCCAAGGCCTGGACATGGTATATACTCCTCTACTCTGAAGATGTAGACAGCTGCTATCATGAACAGGTTTGTATGATTTGATTTGTTTGGTTTTTTTTTTGCCTCGGGTTGATTGCTTGCATGCCTAATTAATTTATTGTTAGTCTACTCTGCATCTTTAGCTACCATATTTTTGTGGAGGACAACTGCTGTGTGGGCTGGTACCCAACAGAGGCAGCTGAGAAGCCCTGTAGAAGCCCTTGTTCCTAGACCTGGCCTCAGGCCAGGCAGGATCATGCTGTGTTCTTTGAGGCCTGTTGAGGTGGCCCGTGTCACAGGCCAGAGCCAATAATTGTCTCTTCTGGAAAGATGGGGAGGAGACTCCAGAGCTGTCTGGGTAACTCTTCTGTTCCATGTCATCTTTTTGTTTACTGATGTTGTCATGGATGCCAGATCAAATATACACTCAAAACAGGTTATCGATGGATATCTAAGGAGAAAAGAAATAGGGGTGTTAAGAGAGGCTTTTTCTTTTGCTAGCCGCTTTGGTTTATCCCCCGCCAGTCACCTGGGCTCTGCCGCGCCAGCCTGGTTCTAGATCCGCTTGAGTCCCAAATAAACACACAGGAGGCTATATTCATTATGAAGCTGTTGGCCTTGTTTGTCTCTTACTGGCTAGCTCTGCTTTAAGTAATTACCCCATAATTGTTAATCTAAGTATGTTTCTTACCAGAGAATAGTTCCGGGCTCCTACCCATGGCGTTACATGTCGACTCTCTTGTCTTTCTCCTTCCCAGAGTTCTCCTGGACTCCTAGTCCCTCCTATCTAGGTTTCCTATAGGCTCAACAGTACTTTATTGACAAATGCGCAGGACTTCCCCCAACATAGGGGTATATATGCAAATAGTAGGAAAAAAAGCAACAGTCCTGAAATCTCAGGTCCAGGAGAAGGATAGATTCTCTAGATAGGCCCGTTGGAACAAATGACCAGAAAGGTTTGCTTGAAGCGTGAAAGATTTTGCTCTCCCAGCTATGGTGGTCAGAAGTCTGGAATCAGTGTGTCTCGGGGTCAGTTTCAAAGTAAAGGCTGAAAGGAAGAAAATTTCCTTCCTCTTGCAGCTTATGGTGTTTATTGGAAAGCCTTGGCACTCTTGACACGTAGCAGTGTCTTTCCCATCTCCGTCTTCATGGTCTCAGGACTCCGGGGCTGGCTCTGAGTTGATGGTCTGTGTTCTTATGAAGGTGACATTCTTGCTGGATTTGGGAGGTCCACTCACCCAGGAAGACCTCCTCCTAACTAAGCACATGTGCAAACCCAATTCCCAAATCAGGTCACATAGCTACTGGGCTTAGGACTTCTCTATATTTTTTAGTGGATTGCATTTGACTCCCAACAGAGTGCAGTGGGAAATGCCAGGGATAGTGTATCTGTTGAGATAGTCCCTTAACCAGAGCAATGAATACAGGAGAAATGCTCACAGACTGCAACTAGCGAAGGTCACATGTGTTTGGGTGCCACAGGAAGCCTTCAGATAAGAGCGGCTCTCCTCCTCGAATAGGATACTCTCTCCATCTGTGCTCATGGCCCTGAAAGTTTTTTTTATCTTCTGTTAGTGGTTTCAAAAATATTGTATAAATAAGAAGAATAAGAAAATAGCACTGCTCTGACTCACACGCTGGGCAGAGCTGCAGGCTCTTCAGACTATCAAGAAAAACTTCACTAAAGTGCTGATGCTTAAGCCAAATCTGAAAAGATGGGGAGTAGGTCTCTAGGCTGACAAGGTGGGGCTGGGGAGGGAGGGCAGGAAAGGTAGGGATAGGGCTTTGCATGATAAGCGAGCATGTTCACCAGAGTATGATTCAAGTTCGCTGACATACTTCGTACCTCCTTTAGGAGGGCGTCACATCTCAAGGCCTGTACTGTCAACTCTATCTGCTGGGTTCAAATATTTAGAAAAGAAGAAGAGGCAAGGCTGGAGGTGTAGACCACGGCTGCTCACCTGCCTAGAGATCACAGAGCCCTGGGTTTGTTTCTTCTGCTTCCATCATTGCTGGGAGTTGAGTGGGGTGGGTAGGAAGATCAAATATGTTTCTGGTTTTAGTGAATGCACAAATAAGAAACTGATAGCACCAGGAACACATATCAGGAGGAATCAGCCATTTGGACACATTTGCCATGGCACAAATATGGAAACCCCACTCTCAGCAAGATCTGCAGAAATCAAAGAGCCGAATGTGGCAGAAATTCTCCGGCCCTAACTGCAGAAAAAGATCAGCCAACATTTTTTTTCCTCTGATAAATTTCATTCTGTACAAAGGGCCAAACTGGGTTCTTAGGAACCCGATTGTGAACCAAGATTTGGGATTCAGAATCATCTCCATGATCTAAGAAAATTAACTCCTCACTCTTCTTCCCAGAGAAGCACTCTAGCTTGTTACCTCTGAGCCCGAATCAAGGTCTGACCCGGTTTCTGTCCCAGAACTATTCCCCGTTTTTTGGCACAGGGATATACAGGATGCCAGCAAAGTTCACACGGGGTCATCACAGTCTTTTTAAAGGCAAGATGATTCATGGCTGGGTGGGGGAGAGAGGGTATTGAGGGGAAAGGAAGTGCTGAGCAGGAGGGGGTGGAGCCATGCAATTATGAAATTGACTGCAGGAAAAGCTAGCCCTCAGAGTGATGGGATCCTATGCTCTTACATTGGTATTTAAGCTCTGGCTTTTAAAGCAGAGAGGCAGTTGGAATGAGAAGCAGATCTCACAACTCGGTGACCTATTGCAGTATGATGGATTCCATGTCCATGTATTTATTACAATTACCAATGTTAATTTCCCTTCATATCTGACAAAAGAAAAAGAACGGAAAAAAAAAAAGCAAAGCTCTCCCACAACCGAGTAGCTGGCAGAATAAGATTTTGGCTGCAGGAGGATGAGTGAGTAATTTGTCTTCTTCTCTTTGATTGGTTGGCACTCCAGCTGACCGGGTCGTTTATTCTGCATGTTCATTCTACAGTTAAGAAGACAGTGTTTGTAATTTACAGTTTTAGTCGAGTGCTATTATCCCTGCCCTGGCAGAAGGCATCTGAAACAGGAGGGACAAAGCAAAACCAGGACCTCCAGTGGCAAGCCTCTAGAGACTCTTAGGTCCCTCCCACCTTCCCCGGCTCCCCATCTCACTTCCAAGCCTTTGTAGAGGCCTCAAACCACCTGCCAATCCCCTCTGAAACCCTGATGTGGACAGTTTCTTCTATGAACTCTAGTTATTTATGTCAGAAAAAAAAGGAAATCTTGCCAATGCATTTTTTTCCAGCACTGCTTCCTCTTTGGGGGCAAGCTTGGTAAATTCCTCACAAAGGGATGTTCTTAAACAGTGACCCTTATTCAGATTGGTTTGTCCTGGCCGATATTTCCTCAAGAAAAATAAAGTAGCTAAGAGGGCATTTGCAGCTGTGTATTCTCGTGCCATGAAGTCTGGACAAAGAACCCACCTGTGTGTTCCCCAAGGCTGCGAAGTTTATTTCTGTAACTGCTGGGGTCCACTGTTCGCGGTGGTCTCACCCTATGTCTGACAAGCAACACCCATTAAGCACCACTGTCTTACATTCATATGTCGGCGCCTCTGGCTTGGATTTTAATTTAGAAAATTGATCTCTTTTGAGGGAAAAAAATGCCAAGTTGTTAATGAAACACTAAAAATAGAGTCCCAAAATTTCCCAGCCAATACCAAGCCAGGTTTAACTCACATATTCTCAACCTTAAAATGTTGCCTGTTTTCTTTCCCTATAAAAAGAGTTGTGTTCCTTAGATGGCTGGAGTCACAAGGTATATTTAGCAGGCCCATTCCCTCATATTCAATCTTGTTCTGAGTGACATTGGTGACAATTGATTTCTAGCTTGTTGACAAATTAATAATGTTTTGTATTTTCCATAGTCACTCTGCATCTTGTTTTTTTAAATGTTAATTATGTATTGTGTGTGTGTGTGTGTGCGCACGCATGCATGCGCGCGCGTGTGCATGTGTGAGTTCCAGTGCTGCCTGCAGGTGCACGTGTGAACAACGAAGTCAGTTAGTGGTTCTTCCTTTCCACTAGGTCGGTTCCAGGAAGTGACTATGTCTTAAGATTTGGAGGCAGACCTTATTGGCTGATATATTTTTCTGACCTGAGCCTTCTTTTGAGACAGGGACTTTTTACTGAACCTGGAGCTCATGGATTCAGTTGGATGTCTGGTCAGCAAATCCCAGGGATCTACTCTCCCAGCACTGGGATCTCAGGGATCCTCTTGTCTCTACTCCCCCAGCACTGGGATCTCAGGGATCCTCCTGTTTCCACGACACAATCTCTGGGATCCCAGGGGTCCTCCTGTCTCCACTTCCCTAGTGCTAGGAGTACTGGTGTGTGCCATCACACTCAGCTTTTTACATTGGTGCCCAAAGCCATTTGTCACTAGACGGTATCAATCCCAAACCATTAAGCCTTTAGTCACAAATAGCCAACCCCCAAAACAGCTGTAATGGTAGAATGTAATGCTTCTCAGAAGTTTCCTGGGTGACCAGGAGCATGAGCGACTTTCATGAAGACCGAGTCACAGATGAGCCTACTAGCTTTCTTCACGGGCCCATAGTAGATCTACCAATGAGACAATGTATTCGGTCATCTGACTCTCAGAGAACAGGCATTACAGTCTGTGTCACATGGAGAAGGAGGGCACTAAGATGAAGGAAGGGCATCAGCTAATGTCTACCGCATTACTGCAAAAAGCCACCCAGGATCAGAGGTGTCCAACTGTGGGCTTTTTTAGACTAATCCTATGTTTCATGAACCGCATCATCTATGCTATTGGTAGCTGGCTGCGGAAAACATTGTATTATGGGGCTGAGGGGGTAAAGGAGTTGCCTGGCATCAAACAAAGAAAAAGATATATATTTATATAAATACAAATGCATATTTGTGTTTGTGTATATACGATCACTTGTATATTTATTTGTATACATCTATGTATATATATGCATGTATGTATTTTCACATGCATATGTGTATATATGTACATGTTTTATATATGTTAACAATATGTTTCATTGATCCCAATGCATGGTGAGTGTACATATTTTCATTTCAACATTTAATCCACACAAAATTACTGATGTACTGAATTTATGTATTTATGTATTTCATATACACAGATATCTAAGTAAGCCTTTAAATTTTGAAGCATATTTCATACCTACAGTACATCTCAATTTAAACTAGCCAAGTTTCAAGAGATCAAAGGCTTTATTGGACAGTGAGGCTCTGTATGAAAGTATTTGTTTGGTTGTTTTTAAACTTGCCGTTTGGTTTAGTTTAGCCAGACATGTGTACTGTTGAATCATAAACTAGCAGCAAACACTGAAGTGCAGTGATTTTTAGCCAACCCCTTTCTGTGGCTCTGGGGAGTAGAACCCACAGCCTTGCTGGTGGTAAGCAAGGATGCTGCTTATAAGGTCCCCTATAGCCTCCAACTCTATGCAGCTGAGGTTGACTACCCCAACCCCCAACTCCACTTTTGGCTATTGGTGATGTCACTTAATGACCAGGAAGCCTGTGCTGCTGCAGTTTGGTAAAAGATCAAACACGTGGTTCTGAGGCAGGTCTGGAAGTCTGTCCCCTGTACACAGAGCCTTAGAACTTCAGCTAGGATGTGGCCCATGGACGCCAGAGTCTATTGAATGGGCAGCTTTCACTTTTGTTTCTTCTGTTTTATTTCTCCACTGGCTTATTTAGGAATACAATCTAAGCAAAGTGTACTTGTTTTGTAACTACTGCAGCTTGCTCAGTTTTTAAAATGACATATAGGATAAAACCCTTTTTGTAAGAGTGTGGTTAAAGATCTGGCCTCAGTATTCCCATTAAAAATTCAAAGTTTCCAGGATTATTGCATAGCCATAACAAATTGTTCCAGGCAGAAACTTGGCAAGTACTTCCCTACTGTGGGAGGAAAGACTTTTAACAATTCTAAAGAGATAAAAATAAATAAATGTTTACCACTTCAACTTCAATAATCTTTGATAGGAAGTGCATTTAGAGAAGACATATTTCGCCTTCACATTTGGTCTGGTTTACAAAGTTGAAAGGTAATATGAGCTTGTAAGTCTAACCTTGTTCAACAGTTATACAACGGCTCTCTCAGCGGCAACATCTCAATGAGTAACTTCTCCGTGCTTCCAGCTTTGCTGTATGTATTTCTGAGAGGCACTGGTCAGCCAGCTGTGAGCATCTTAACCCTGGTGAAAATTTACATTTTTTAAAAGGTAAGACTGGTAACACTCTAAACTCTTTGTAGGCCAGTATATTTTCCTCAGTGTGCATTTTCAGGGCCTATGTATTGTATACCAGATGCCAAGCAAATAGCTACTGAGGCATGACAAGGACAGAAAAAGCAACTTGAAAATTAAGTCACAGTTTCTAATTATAAGGTCCCATGTAGCCTCCAACTCTATGCAACTGAGGTTGACTTTGAGCTCCAGATCCCTGTCTCTACTTCGCAAATGCTGGACCATAGGTCTGAGGTTCCAGGACTGGTACTCTGTTCTTCCTCTCTTTTTTATCCCGTAACCTCCCACCGCCTCCTGCACCTGGTCCCTGCTCTTCATCTCTTACTGAAATGCATACTTATCAGCTGGAGGATGATCTAGGCTGTCATCCCAGCAGTCCTGTGGCTCTGACAGGAGGATTGGAGGTTCTAGGCTAGCCTGGGCTACTTAATGAAATCCATCCTCAATATATGAATAAATAAATATTCACTAAATATCGACTAGCTCTCACTGTGCAGCTTCCTCATTTCAGTGTTGGCTTTTGCTATGTTCCCTAGCCACCCCAGGGAAGTGTTTATGGATATGATATAGGAGAACTATGACCAGCATGGTATACTACACAAATATAGTCAAGAATTTGATAATCATTATGGCAAGCACTACAAACTAAAATAAGACATTTTTGAAAGTATGGCAAAAAAATACCAATTTTTTTAACCAAAATGTGTTTGACTCAAAATCAATTTATTGAGTATAATATTGATGAACTAACTCCCCTTTTAGTTCTGCATTAGTTTCTCTCAGGGTTGTCTTATTTTAGAAGAATTATCACTATTTTGACTAGAGAAAACTAACACATCCCATCTTTCCCTTTGATTAACAGAATTTTATCATGTTCATTTATTTACTGTGAGGGTGGGGGGAGGCATTCTCCCTAAGGGCTGCCATGGAGGTCAGGGACAACTTGCAGGACCTGGTCTGTTCTTCCACCACGTGGACTGAGGCACTGCGCCTGGGTCCTCAGGCTTGGTGATAAGCTCTTTCAGCCTTTGAGTATGTCACCAGGCCAGGGAGTCCCTTCACTTCTTTTCTTTCCCTTTTTGTTCTTAAGACATCTCGTGTATCCTAGGCCGGCGCTGAACTTGCCGTGTAGTCCAGGGACGATGACTTGGACTCCTCGACCTTCCCGCAGAGGTTGCAGGTGTGTACCAGCACACCCAGTGTGGTGCTGAGCATCAAACCGGAGCTTTGTGCAGTCAGGAAATAAGGTGTCTTTTCCAAGCAGGATTCCTGGAGTCCACTGGAAGAATGCAAGCCTAGAACGTGAAATGAGTGTATCTTGTATCTTTTATTTTATGTAATTTGCAATCTGTTCAATTATTTAGTTGCTGTAATCTAGTAGGCAGTGTGTTTTGTTAGCTTGTTTTGTTTTGTTTTGTTCTGAATGACATAACAGGCTACTTCCAATGCAAACATATACTACACTTTAAAAATCTGTCACCATGTGGAGGGGCCTGTGTACACTGGTTGTATTAAGCATTCTTGTGCTCCCTCTACTGCCTCAGAGAACACATTCATAGCCAAGACCCCAGTACATTCACCCCTAGCCAGCTCCTTTAGTTAATGAAACAGGGATCTTCAGACAAAGATTGCTATTGCCTTCAACACGCGCGCGCACACACACACACACACACACACACACACAGAGAGAGAGAGAGAGAGAGAGAGAGAGAGAGAGAGAGAGAGAGAGCAGATATAGTCAGCCCTCAAATGGGTGGGCTAGTTTTAGGGTTCCTCTGAAATACCCAAATCTTAGATTGTATTATATAGTGTACTGCATACATGTATTCACATCCTCCTACATGTTTTACATTATAAGTAATTTAAGTTTATAGTATAACTTTCAGTTATAAGCAACCTCCGGGTTACTTTTAATACCCAATACAATGGAAATACTTGTTATTCAGTATTATGCATGGAACAATGATGAGGGAAAATTCCATAGGTATTCAGTACAGATGATTTTAAGAAATATATGTATTTTTTCTCTACCGGAAGCTGGTTAAGTTTGAGGCTGCAGTGGTCCAGGTGTAATGTGGTATTATTTTAATTGGTAAAAGAATTAACATGAAGGTAACTTAAAGTCGAATTAAGTTCTGTACTCATGGCCAATGTGCCCAGACAGAGCCCTGTAGTACAGACCAGTGTTCTTCATGCTGGGATGTGCCAAGTCTCTGTAGCTAGTTCAAAGGCAGATTTTAACTGAGTATGTGGGATAAGAGCCTTGATTCTGAAGTCTAAAGTCCTCCAGATGGTGGTGCTACAGCAAGTGCTGCTACTTTTTAGACTCCAATTTTAAATGCAGAAATGTAATATAAAAGTCTTGTGACTTAATATATAGCTGCTAGTCCATATTAAACTTTCAAAAGTAGTTGGGACAAAAACATTAAAATAGGTAGCAGGTGGGCTGGAGTAATGGCTTGAGACTTGAGAGCTCTTGTTGCAGGATAGCAAGGCCCTGAGTGTGGATCCCAGCACTCATCACAGGAGCCAGGTGTCCTACATGCCTGTTACTCAACCTGAAGAGGGAAGAGACAGGAGGCAAAGGCTAGGTTTGTCGGCCCCTACTCTAGTCTAGAAGAGATGACCCTCAGGTTCAGATAAAGATTGTACTTCAAAGAAATGCTCAGAAAGTGATTGGATTCACAATGTGTCCATGGACATGCATGCACACACACACAAATACACAAAACAAATCTTTAGAAAAATAGAAGGTACTAAAATTTCTTTTCACATTGTTTAAGTAACTCATAACACAGATTAGGAATAAGGCTCAGCAGGCCTTCTTCCTTAATTTGACTCTATTTCAAAGCTTGACTGAGTGTTGTATAAATATATGATCAGATTTGGGTTTAGGGGAATAGTGCTATAAAACTGCCAACTGCCACCTTGAAAACTGCTCTTTTTCCATTGAGTTTTCATTTGCATGAGAACTTTTGCTTTTAAATAACCTGTCTTGTTACCTTTGATGGTGCATTTGATATCCTGTCATTTGGAAACAAAACACTTCAGCATTTGTAATAAAACTGTTTCATTGGTGTTATGCTTGTGTCGGACCTTGCAGGAAGCAAAAGCTGTAGGGTTGTGTGTGTGTGTGTGTGTGTGTGTGTGTGTGTGTGTGTGTGAGAGAGAGAGAGAGAGAGAGAGAGAGAGAGAGAGAGAGAGAAGGGGAGAGAGAGAGACAGACAGAGAGAGAGAGACAGAGAGAGAGAGACAGAGAGAGAGAGTTTATGGCTTTAATCTTAATGGCTAGGAAAGTAGACAGCACATTTCTTATTAATTATTTTTACTATGTGGGTAATGCACATATTTAGCTTTCTTCAGGGAACATTTAAATTAATTGACTAAGTCGAATATGAATTATGTGTTTTAATATGTTTAAGGTTGTTAAAATAATGCAAATTAATTGCTTGCACCAACGTAATAATTACAATATTAGTTTTTTCCCTTGAAAATTCTCTAAAAATAGAGTGGAGGTGGATTGGACAGTTTGCAGATTATGAGCTGGAATAAAAACATCTCAGTTACGCCAAAAACATGGCAACCACTATTTTCTGTTATAAAAATATTTTAGATGGATTTCAGGTTTTTTTTTTTGAAGCTTTGTCGATTCACGGGACAGCAGTCACAATGCCTGCAACACAAAGCATGAGCCTTTTCAAAGACAGACACCACTCAGTTAAGCTCTGAACTGTTAACCCTCACCTGGATAAAGCTCGGGAGGGAAAACCAGACTAGTCAGAGCCTTGGCAGGAAAGTCCTGTCAACTGTCCACTAGAGGCTGTAATGAGACCAACAATGTCACTTGAGCATATGAAGTCTAACAAACATGGATCTTTAAGTGAACAACACAAGTTACGGGGGGGTGAGGGAAGGAACAGTCGTAGTTCTATTTAAGTACCCGTGGATTTGTGCACGGTATTTCAAAACCTGAGAATAGATATGTATCCCCCGCCCCCCAGGGCTTCTTCTTTTTTTTTTTTTAACTTCTGAAGTGCTGGCTCCACAATTCAGCAGTTTAAAAAGCTCACGCATTTCTCCTGGTGGTTCTGTACGCTGTTTCAGACAGTGACTAACTGTTAGGTCATAAGCAAACGGAGCCAAAAGGTCTCTCAAATCCAGCTTACAGTCAATAATAGTGGCTTCCTACAAAAGACCTAGGGATCGGGTTTCTAGACTCTTAGTTCTAAGCACCTCAAAGAGGTCAGACGCTGGCCTGACACCTACTGGTTTTCGAGAATTATCTGTAGCAAAGGGAACGCAGCGCTAAGCGACCCTTGTAGGGTTGTGGCCGCTCTTCCTCCGGGTGCCACACCTGTTGGCAAGGTACAGTCCTCCGGAGAAGATTCCTTCCCACCGAGCTCACACCTGGCAGCGGCATAGCGGAGGGGTGGGTGGGGACTCCAGGTCTGCGTTCAGCCACCGGGACCAGGGAAAGTTCCTTCGCTGTGGATTCCCGAGAACGGCCATCGAATGATCATGATAGGGGCACCGGTTACCTCACTTCCGATGAAATGAATGATTCCCTGTTAGCTGAAAGAGGAGTAAGCAGGTCGGCTACCGGGCTAGAAATGAGACGTTTGATTCCTACTGGAGATTTCTAGACCTGCAGAATTAGAAAGGAGGGCCGGGAGGTCGCCAGCTTGTCCGGGCAGGAAAGGTGAGGGCGCCAGTGCAAACTGAGCAAGCCTGAGAACTTTCCCGAGTTGCAAGCCAAGGCGCCGGCCCAGAGCCGGGTTGCGCAGGGCTCACCGGCTGGAGGGTTAACACAGAGGATGGAGTGAGTCCTCTTAGACACATACCGGGGTGAGGGGGTGGGAGCACCAAGGTCACTTCGGGATTAGAATCAGCCGGCTTCCCCTCATCCTTGCTTATTTTACCAGGTGGGAACCGAAGCCTGACACCCATTGAGGTGAGTCCACCAGGCTGCGAGCATTGCACCCTGCACTCGCCCTGTCCCCTCCAACTAGGTTGCAAGGAGCCGGGGGAGGCGCGCGAGCACCGACCGGTCACCACTCCAATGACCTCATCGCCCCAACTTCCCCGCCCCTTCTCAAACCTGGAAGGCACAGTCCCCTCAGGCCGATGTCCGGGATCCGGAGCCGCAGTTAGGGAGAGGCACCGGGCCTCCCCTAGAGGGACCGCTGCTCCGGCCCGGTGCACAGAAGGGTTAAGGGCGCGGGCCGGTAGCTGCGCCGTGCGCTCGCCGTGCTCTGTGCGGCTCGCCGGGCCGCCTGCCAGAGGGTGCCCCCCCCCCCATGAAGTCGGATCCTTGAGCTGTGGCGGCGGCAGCCAACTGCTCCATATTTGGCTTCTATTACACATTTACATACTGGAGCGAGCGAGCGAGCGCGAGAGAGAGCGCGAGGGAGGGAGGGCGGGCGGAGGGAGGAGGGAGGGGAGGGGGGGAGGAGGAGGAGGAGGAGAGAGCAGAGTATACCGCAGACATCATTTCTACTACAGTGGCGGAGCCGTACAGGACCTGTTTCACTGCAGGGGGATCCAAAACAAGCCCTGTGGAGCCGCAGCTAGAGCTACAGCAGCCGCAGGACACTGTGTCTCTCCCTCTGTCCCCCCTTCCCCACGCAACCCCAGATCCATTTACACTTTACAGTAAGTGGCTATTTTTTTTCCTCCTCTGATTCTTTCTCTCCCCCTCCCCCATCTCCCTCTCCCCCCGATTTAGATTAAAATCACCCCCTCCCTCACCCCAATCCTCCTCTCCGGAGAGGGGCCAAAGAACATCCAGCATACACCCCCCCTCCCCCAGTCTCAATGGGCTGTAAGGAAAACAGCTGGAAGAGGAGCGAAGGAAACCGACGCGTCGTGGTGTGTGTGTGTGTGTGTGTGTGTGTGTGTGTGTGTGTGTGTGTGTGTGTGTGTGTGTGCGCGCGTGCGTCTGTGTGAGTGTGTGTACATACACCCCTGCCAGGCTCCAGCCTCCGGGCTCGGGACCCTACTCTGGGCGCTGGAGCAGCAGCCAAGGGGAGCTGCCAGGGGCGGCCGGGTGGGCAGCCCCCAGGAGAGGGGGCGCGCCCGGGCAAGGGGCGCGGGTGGGGAAAGCGGCGGCGCCCGGCTCAGGCTGCTGGCCCGGCGGCGGCGAGAGCTGAGAGCCCTGTCCTCCTCCCTCCCGGTGGCGCAGGGGGAGGCGGCAGCAGCTGAGGGTCGCGCTGCCCTCTTCGCTCTTGCAAATTCTCCCTCCCGGGAGGGGGCGGTGAGCGCCGCGGGGACTCGAGGGAGGGAGGGCTGGGCTTCCCCGCCCGGGGTCGCCTAGCTTGTGAGAGGCGACCCCAAGACTGGGGTCTCCCCGCCCAGGCCAGCCTCTGGGGACCCGGGACTTTGCGCACGGCCTGGGGGGAGAGGAGAGGTGGCGGCGCGGAGGGCAGGGGCGCACAGGCTATCGGAGCGCAGCGGGAGTGGCGGCGGGGACCGGCCCTGGCTGCAGCCGCCGCCACCGCCGCCCTGTTGGTGCGGCCGCTTCCTGATCCAGAGCAGCCGCCGCCGCCACCGCTGCCGGAGCCGGGAGCCCGCGAGCGTATCAGCCCGGCCCGGCGTCCCCGCCGGCGCCCGAGGCAGCAGCCGAAGAGCTGCGGGCTCTGCCCTGCTCCGGGACTGCTCGGCTGCGCGGCGGCAGGGAGGGTGAATGAAGATGGGAGGAGGGGAAGGAGGAGGCGGCGGCGGAGGAGGCGCTGCGGGGATTGGGATGCGCCCCGGAGCCCCGCGGCTCGTTCACTCGGGGCCCGAGACGCCGCCACTGCCGTGGCTGCCGCCGCTACCGCCTCCTACGTGGTTGCAACAGAGCGCGCAGGCCGGTCCCGCAGGGGGCAGGGAAGGGGCCGGACGGGCGGAGCGAGAGGTGAGGCGGTGTCGGAGAGGAGGGAGTGAGTGCTTGTGAGTGTGTAGGTGTGTATGTACGCGTGTGTTTTCGCGCCGAGTAGGGGTCAGGGCCTTCGAGATGGGGAGGGGTCCCGCGGGGGTCCCTTGGCTGACTCTGCAGCGCCTCGACTTCTCCTTAGCCACCTCCTTCAACTCTGGCTTGTGCGCTTTCATTTTTATTTCAGACCACGTAGAGCTGACTGGAAGCGGTAAAATAATTCAGGTTTTCTAGAGAGATTGAGCAAGGACCTTAGTGGTGGGGGGTGGAAGTAGGATGGTGATCTAGACTCTGCCAGAAAAAAAAAATCAGGGTTTTAAGACGGTGGAGTTCAGTTCGATCCCGTGGCTATCCTGTTTTGGTGTGCTTTCTTTCTGTATAATCCTGCAGATAAGAGGGTAATATAAATACTTGGGAAGGTTGGGAAATTGCTGAAGAGTAGTAAGGGCGGAAAAAAAAGCCAGTCGGAAGCTGGTTATATAATGCTCTATGTGGCTAACAAGAAAGGCAAGCTATTTTTATTTTGTTTACCGTATGTTGTGCAGTAGGAACTCCTCCAAACTGGTTCTGTCCCCGAAGAGATTTCTTAGCTTCTCAGAGGGAGCCACAGGATACAATTAGTAAAATTAGAAGACCCCACACCACCTACAGAATAAAAAGTAGTGACTTAGAGTAGAGTTCTCACCCTTGCATGCAGGGGAATGTGTGTGTGCAATATGTTTCCCTGTAGCAACCTACTAGTCTCATCTAAATGACATTTCTGTTTTATAATGCAAGCTCCTCTTAATATTTAAACATCATTGCTATAGGTCGTACACCACAAGGTAGTTACATGCTGGTTATTTTTAGGCACAGCTGGTTACTTTTCAGTAGTGTTTGTAAAGCTATGTCTATTTGGTTTTCTGACTAGCCCGGCAGTTCCTAGAAGTCCTAAATGAAACCCACCCTCTGGTTTTTCGATGGTGGGTAGGTAGCTAAGAAAGCTTGATAGGCGAGAGTTTATTTTTATTTTATTTTTGAATGAAGTTTATGCCAGTGGAAGCTAGAGGTAGCCACCAAAGAGAAGAAAGGCGTGCGCAAGAACTCTTGGGAAGGGATTGCACCACAACAGTTTAGCTGTGGCATTTAATCTCCTCTGATTGTCCTCTAACTGGCCATACATCAGTCAATATTTTAGCAGCTTTGCAAATAAATGGGCTTGAATGGCCCCTTCCACAGGAGACTGAAAAGTCTCCTGCCTGTCTTCCTCTCTCATCATTCAGATACTGTCAGTGGTGTTAGTTTTCTGTACACTTACTCCGGCCCTGATCACTCATGTAATTAGATCAGGCTGCCATGGCAACAGACAGTGTTTCTTGGTTCATTCAGGTGGGTTTGCCTGAACTACTCCAAGTGCTTTATGCACAGTATTTGAGCTGCCCGAACCAGAGAGGAGAGAGCCTTCGCCATTTCAATTGCATCTTCTTTCAGTCATCTGAACAGGAGACTGAATGAGGCTTCTAGCTACTCTGCTTCTCTAAAGGAAACCAGCCCACTGTTCCTACTGGGTACAATATGTAAATGTATCTCCCCAGACAGTAAAAGGAGCTTGACAATCCTTCTGGTGTTTATTGTGAGCAGATCAACAAGTATTTGATACTTTCTAGAAACCTTTCAGAGCTCACTGAAGCAACTTTTCTTTTGCATTCTAGAGCCTTTGGCCTTGCAGGCACTTAACCCTTTCAAGTGTGAGAGAAGAGCACACCCATGCTTTAGGACTGAAATTGCTGACAGTGTTGGCTGGCTTTCTAGGTAGTTTTTTAAGAGGAGCTGGCTTCTTGGGAAAGCATATTCCCACTGTCACATTTTAAAACTTCACAGCCCACATTATAAAAGGGGACACTGATAGTAGGCAGGCATTCTGATGTTATTTTTCTGAATTTGGATCTGTTGCTCCTGATCCGATGATCTTCAGTAGCAACTGAAGATATTTTTTGCAGCTAAGTTATGGATGCTACAAGCTAGTATAATACATGGAGTTTTGCACAGTAAACAGTGTATATTGTATTTTAGGATGTAATTTAATAAACATCTAGAGAGCTGCAGGCCAGTGTTTGCATTCCGGTATCACCTTAAGCTTGTTAAGGCCAGAAAAAAATATATTATGAAAGAAAAGTAGCTTTAGTTCCTGGAGTCCGGTACTGTCCAAATGAAGGGAATGTTTTAATAACTTTGAGTATGTCGTGATTTAGTTGTGACTCTGCCAGTCAGTTTATAGTTTTAAAGCCATGTAGCTAAATCAGTTAAAATAGAAGAAAGACACACAGAGATAATACACACACACACACACACACACACACACACACTTTCACACACACCACTTCCCCTGGGCCAGGATTGGGAAAGTTGCTTATTTCTCATCACAGGGGGTTTATGAGTTTCCCCTGGTTACCAAGTTTATGTGGTTGCTACATTATTGTGGCCTGGTCCACTGAAGCATTACTATGGTTAAAGCAAGCTATTATTTCTGAGAGGTAAATTCATGTGAAGCCATGATCTAAAATAGAGGACAGAAGTTTTAAGTTTTACACACGCCTTGGAGGTCCTCCATTCTATTTTACAGCAGACAGGGAATGTCTTTCCTTGCAATTAAATGTGTACTTGTATTTTTCAGTGTACAAATGAACACTTGCTAAAATAAATGAGATGTGTCTGTGCTTGATTGAGAACTAGGAAAGGCATCACTCCCACTCCCCCTCAATTTCGTTTTAAGAGGGTTTGGCCAGCAGTGTATTTAGTTAGAAGTGGCCTAGAGAGACTTCAGGCCTCTCAGTTGGCTTTGATTGAAAGATAAAAGAAAAACTCTTGAACAATCAGATTACAAATCAAATGGCTGAAGATAGTCAAAAGTTTCCACTGTCCAGAATCCCAGTGTCAATGTGAAGAGATTACTAAAATGTTAGTCAATACTTTATGGCTCCCAGGTTTTCTAGTCATTAGAGTTGCGGGATTCACATTCCTTCTGTATATGTGACCTTGTTTTCTCTCCCATCCCGAAATGTCAAGAGGATTTTGCTCCTGCACATACCTTGGACAACAGCATCTACTGACTGATAGACTGTAGCAGTTCACTGTGCTTCCTATTAGGAATCAGTCAATAAATACACTTTCCTAAAAGCCAGAGCTCATGCAAGCAGGCGAATGTAGGAGTGAATGTTGATTTCTTTGAACTGTAGTCATCTGAAGGCAACACGTAATTTACACTCCAAAAAGCTTAAATACTTGCAGATGAAAAGAACCTTCTCATGATGCAGTCTGTCATTTTCAGGGGGCTGGGTTTGACTGATTTCCAGGCTCTGTATTTTCAGAGTAACACGCAACTCTGAACTATAGGCTTCTGAGAGAGAGAGAGAGAGAGAGAGAGAGAGAGAGAGAGAGAGAGAGAGAGAGAGGTTTGTGAAACTTACAAGAACAGATTTCGATCCTGTTGGTTATACTTCCAACCT